GCCGGGACCGGGCCCCGGGTGCGGCGCCCCCTGGAACCTCAACTCCGCAGCACCAGACGGGACGCCTGGCCCGGGGGGCGCGGCTGCACCCCAACAGTCACTGCTGCCCGCTCCGCCAGGCTCAGGCTCGGCCTCGGGGTCGGAGTCCTCGTAAGCCACCAGCGAGGCCATCGCACACGTGGTGCCCTGCTGCGCCTCCGGACGACCTGCGGCGGGACAAGGTCAAGTCAGAAAACCGCGAGCAGGCCCGTGAGTGCACATGTAACCCCAGCACTCAGGAGGCTGAGGCAGGAGGACTGCAAGGTCAAGGCCAACCTGGGCAACTTGTCTCAGGATAAAATAGCTCGGTGGTAGAGTGGCCCTGGGTTCAATCAATCACCAGTACAGGGAAAAGGAAAGAAAGAAAGATCGAGGGATCCAACACTTCAAACCCACCATAATAAGCAGGGCGTGGTGGCGCACGCCTGTAATCCTAGCAGTCGGGAGGCTGAGGCAGGAGGATCGGTGCAAGTTGGAGACCAGCCTAGGCTACAAAGTGAGCGCAAGGCCAGTTTGAACTGCATAGTGAAACCCTGTCTCAACAAAAACAAACAAACAAAACCAACCCACAGAATCAACATTAAAAATAATGCTTTTAGCTGGGTGTGGTGCCTCGTGCCTCTAATGCCAGCACTCTGGGAGCTGCCCAGTTCAGCAATTTTGCCAGCCGCTAACTAAAATTAAATACGCCGATGCTGGACATGGTGGCACACACCTATAATCCCATAATTCAGGAGGCTGAGGCAGGAGGATCACTGCCAGCCTGGACTACATAGAGAGTTCAAGGCCAGCCTGACCCACATAGCAAGACCCTGTCTCAAAAAACAAAACAAAATAGTATAAAATAGGCTGGGAGCAGGGCGTGGTGGGGCACGTCTGTAATCCCAGCACTCAGGAAGCTGAGGCAGGAGAACTGCCACAAGTTTGAGGCCAGTCTGAGTGCCACACATAGTGAGTTTAAAGCTACATAGTGAAACCCTGTCTCAAAAATCAGTCAGTCAATCAAACAATCAAATGGGCTGGGGCTGTCTCTGCGTGCAAAGGCCCTGGGGTGCAACCCCAGTACTACCAAGGAGAGGGGCTTTTTTTCAAAAAGCTGAAAGAAAGAATTTTAAATGTTTTTAATGTAAAGAAATGATAAATGTTTGAGGTGACAGCTGTGTCTACCCCGATTTAAATATTACATTATACCTTTAAAAAGTAAATAATTTTTAAAATACTTCACTGTACACCAGACATAATCAGGTGATATAATCTTAAAAATGAAGATTACAGAATATCTGAAAATAAAGCTTAAAAAACTATGGATAGCCTACATGAAGAAAATGGAAATTTGTATTGAAGGACGCAGATGACGCAGCTAGCGGGGCATGGTGGTACATACCTGTGATCCCAGCTATTCAAGAAGCTAAAGCAAGAGGATTGCAAATTAGCAAAACAAATCAGCAAAACCCTGCCTCAAAATAAAATTTTTGTTTCTTCTTTTTTCTTCTGAGACAGGGTCTCCCTGTGTAGTCCAGACTGGCCTGGAACTCACTTATGTAACCCAGGCTGGTCTCGAACTCAGTGATCCTCCTGCCTCAGCCTCCTCAGTGCTGGGATTACAGGCGTGCACCACCACACCCGGTTTTGTTTTGTTTTGGGCAGGGTGAATTCACTATGTAGGCTGGCTTGAACTTGCAGCGCTTCTCCTGCCTCAGCCTCCCAAGTGCGGGGATCACAGCCGAGCGCCACCACGCCTGGCTCACACCAAGCTTATCAAAATGAAGTCGTTTAAAGGGCAGAGCACCTGCCTAACAGGCCCACGCCTGGGTTGAGCCTCCAGCAGCAAAGGGGGGACAAGGGGGAGGGGAGGGCAACCCCACATGGGCAGACGCAGGACGCAGGTGCCCGCGAGAGTCCACTGCGCCCCCACTGCGCCCCCAGCTCCCCGCGACGGCTCCTGCGGACCTTCGGGTCACACGTCCACGGCCGCCCGCGTCCACAGGGCCGGAGGACCCGGACTCGCCCAGCCTCGGGAGCGGGCGCGGCCTCAAACCGCGCTGGGTCCGGGTTCAGAACCTTCCAGCCCAAGTCTGCAGTCACAGCATCTCAATGGACCGCGCAGGGATGCGCACCGGCCGGCAGGGGGCGCAGCGGAGCAGCGGCGAGCCCAGCCGCCCGAGCGCGGAGCCCAGAGTGCACGCGGCGGGGCTCGGCCCTGTGGCTTCTCTCCTCGGCCTCCTGCCAGGGCGCCGCGCTCGCCCGCAGCCTTGTCCACGCCAGGAACAGCGCGCACAGCCGAAGTCAGGGTGCAAATAAAATTTCTGGGCCAGGTGTGGTGGCACGTGCCTGTCACCCCAGCACTCGGGAGGCAGAGGCAGGAGGATCTCCGTGAGTTCCAGGCCAGAGTGGACTACATAGCGAGACCCTTTCTCAAAAGTAATTAATTAATTAAAAAGTAAAAACCTCTAAGGCCGGCCAGCCTGCCTCACCAGGAGCCCCGGCGGCCTGAGGGCTCCTTACAGACCCATGGGGCCACACGGTGCCCGCGCCCTGCCCCCCACTCAACGGAGCCCTGCTCCTTCCTACCAAGGGAGCCATCACGGGGTGGCCACACGCAGGCAGGAGGGGGCTCCCCAGCCCGCCACCCACAGCAGCCTGAGCCTGGACGTGGCCCTCAGCTCGGCCCCCTGACATGGCCCACAGCCCAAGCCTGAGACAGTAGGGTCAGGGTTCCTAATACACTGCACCCTGTGTACATTTTATTACTCACTCAACAAACACGGGGGATGCACTGGCCACTCGCCAGGCCCCAGACCAGGCACCAGGAAGGTGCGGGGAGAAGACAGTAGCTGATGCCTGCACCCACTCTCCCAGGGAGCTCGGACCCCAAATCCGGGCAGCCAGGGGGTGCTGGGCGCGGAGAGGGTCAAAGGAGAAAAGCGCAAGAGTTCAGGGCAGCTGGGCCTGGGGCTGCAATGTCAAAGGGGAGGCTGAGGCAGTCCGATTCCAGAGAGAAGACATGGGGGTATTGCTCTGCAGGAGGGGAGAGGCTGAACCACCCCGTCGCTGAGAGAGGACAGGAACCCCGGCGAACTGAGGAAAACACAAAACTGGAGAAGTCCGGGACGGAAGCAACTTAGGTTGATGGGCTGCTGCCTTCGGGTTCGCAAAATGAAAGACTGACCCCAGAGGGAGAGCCGGGCGTGGCGGCTCACGCCTGTCATCCCAGGGTTCGGGAGGCTGAGGCAGGGGGATCACCAGGCATTCGTGGCCAGCCTCGACTGCACAGCGAGGCCCTGTCTCAGAAAAACAAGTAAATACACTCAAAGGGAGAAACCCAGGTGGGAACCAACAGAAAAAAGGCTAGAAACGTTTGGGGGCTTAAAGCCGCCATGGACGGAGGTGCAGAGGGAAGTCAAAGCGAGAGAATGTTCTCGTTCAACAAATATTTCCTGACCGTCTACTCTGTGTTAAGCCCTATGCTGGGTCTGATGTGGGCGCAAAACACGCATCCTCCCCCAAAAGCCACAGGCTGATGAAAGGTACAAGCAAGATACACGGGCGATGGGTTTTGAAGGATGAATAGGAGTTAGCGCGCGGGCATCAGTAAGCGGGAAGGGTGGTACACAGCGCGGCGCTCTCGGAGGAACAGGAGGGGAAGGGAAGGAGGCGATAGGGGGCGAGGACTCGCGCTGAGGGGCGGAGAGCGCTCGGGCACTGCCTGGTCCGGCTCCCTCCCACCCGGGGCCCGCCGCTCACCACAAGCACCGGAAGCGCTCGGTAAACTGCCCGCGCCCGCCGGGCCCGCACTCCACCGCCCAGTCGCGTTCCGCCGCGACGCTGGGACTGCCAGCCAATAGGCGGCGGCTTCAGCCACGCCCCTACGCGAACAGCCAATGAGGAGGCGTCGCGGCCGGAAGTTGTTCCGGCCGGACGGCGTTTCCACGGACGCCCTGGAGCAGCCCGGGTGGCCGAGCTGGTGGCGCTGACTGGCCCGGCGGGGCCGGGTAAGTGAGGCCGGGGGCCCGGGGCGGCGCCT